CTGAGTTAGCTGCAGCTTCATCTTACTCCCCTCGGAGTCTGTGTCCTTAGCACTTCGCCACCCAGAGCATGGCCAGCAGGGTGCCCCGGCCCAGGCTGATGACAGGTGTTTACAGGATGGAACTATGGCGGGGTGCTGGAACTCCACTTCTGGCCACCAACAGACCCCATACTCCCCCACTCTCTGGCTGTGTGATCCTGGGCGGTGACAGAACTCCTCTGCGCCCTGCTTCCTCCCTGGGGCAGCACCAGCATTTCTTGGGGCTACGATATGAACTCTGGGAGGTGCCCGGCAGGTGACCTCTACCCAGGGATGATCACCATTAGTTCTGTCTACGCCCCACTCCAGCGGCGACACAGGAATGTGGGGGTCAGAAAGACGCGGCTTCCGGCCTCAGTGGGTGTGTGACTCTGGGCAGGTGGCTCCTTTCCCAGCGCCTCTACTTCCCCGTCTCTGAAATGGCACTAACGCCGCCAACAGGAATGCAACGCCCCTCCCCACAGTCTTTTGTTCGAGGCACGCAGTAGGCACTCAGGTATTTCTAAACTAACGGTCCAGGTCGAAGAAACCCAGCCACCTTCCAGCTCCCCCTCCCCCACCCCTACCACCCAGCCTCCAGCAGCGCCCTCCCCCCCCATGCGGACTAAAATAGTCATTAGGCAGATTTCAAAAGATGTCAGCAGCTTATAATTACACTCGACATCCTTCTGAGATAAAAGTGATTACCTTGGATGCAAATCACTTAGCAACCAATCAGGGCGGTGGGCGGCGCCCGCGGAGGTGACCGCGCCGGCCCTCCTCCCGCAGCCCGCAGCCCGCCCCGCACAGGCAGAGGCACAGGCGGAGGCAGGGAACGCGCACAATAGCTCTTGACACGCAAATGGGTTAACACAATAAAGGCGGCTCCGGCCGCCGCCGGGAGAGCAGCGATTCCCGGCCGGGAGGTGACAGAGCGGCCCTTTTGTGCGCGCCTCCTCCTCCTCCTCACCCCGCCCAGCCCAGAGGAATCGCCACCGATTGAATTACGATTCATGAATATGAGCTGCTCCGCTGGCTTCCTCCGGTTGGTGAGGGACTGGAAGGTGGAGGGGGCAGGAGGGAGGCTGGGAGGGGCGCCCTGGCCAGGCCCCAGCAGCTCAGAGGGGGAGCCACATAGGTGGGGTGCCCCGGGTAGGTGGTGGGAGACCCAGCAGAGGCAACTGGAAGGGTGGGAGTCCCGGACCTGCCCTGCGGTCTTTGATGTTTGGCACCAAGTGGGACTGGGAAAGCCTTTCAAAGGCCCCATTCTGAGGTTGAGGCTAACAGTGGCCACATGTGGAGAATGTGCATTTATGGAGTGCTTACTGCATGCCACCACCTGTGCTGAACCCTCACTGAATGGCTCAGAGGGACAGGGGATGGTAAGCTTAGGTGGGATCAGGCAGTGATAAGGCTTAAGGAGGGCGGAGGGTAGACAGTTAACCTTGAGAAGGAGGCTGCCCGAGAGCAGAGAAGGCCATCCACGCCTGACTGGAAGGGGGCGCAGGGATGCCTGACCAGGGAGCCCTAACTGGATCCTCTCCCCTGTTAAACCTCTCCATCCGGCCAAGCCTCCAGGACACAGACACCCAGGGCCACCCCTCCACCTCGGTCAGCACACCCCCGAATCACAGGCTGTCTACATGGCCACACCCACTGCCCAGAACATTTCTCCACTCCTCTGCCTGGTGGACCCCTATTTGTCCTCTGAGAGTCACACAGCTCCCCTCCCACCGGGCCCTTCCCCACCCTCAGGCTGGGTCAGGAAGCCATAGCTACCAAAGATGCTCTTGCCCCATCTATATCCTTGCCTTCCCACCAGCTGGGTGCCTCCAAGAGGGTCCCTGGGGTGGCTGGGGACAGCCTCACACCCCACCCAGGGAAGCTCACAGGGCAGATGACCAGGAGCCGAGGGCCAGCTCTCTCATCCCTGCCTGGCAGGCAGGTTTCATGCCATACCTTCCTTCCTCCAGGGCTGGGAAAAGGTACCAGGGGTGAGGGGAGCAGGCTGCCCACAAGGCCGGGGCAGAAGTAGCTACTCTACTCAACCTGTCCTGTAGGTAATGGGGAAGCAGGATCCCAACCTGGGCTTCCGTGTGGCAAGACATCTGGGTGAGGCCAGACTTCCGCTGTGGCCAGTGACCCCTGAGTCTTGTAGGGACCCTGTCCAACAAGTGGGGTGCCTCCCCTCCACCCATGGAAGAGGGTGCGAGGACCTGGGACTCTTAAGTTGGCACAATTGAGAGCTGAACCTCTGAGGTTGTCTGGCTGAGCACCTGTAGCTCATCACCTCCTCTCTCAGAGGCTCGGTTTCCTCATCTGTATAATGGGCCACAGCACATGAGTCACTGCGATCCTATAAAATGCCTGGCGCATGGGAAGGTGCTGGGTAAGCTGGCACTCCCTCCTGCGTCGCCTGGTGCCATTGCCAAGCCCAGGGAAGCGAACAGAAGGAATCGCCCGGTTCTGACAGCCGTCCCCTCCGCCTTGGCTGAGGAAATGTAAACACTCCGTGGAGGACCTCCAACTGCCTGTGTCTGCGGCGCCCTGGCGCACTCCGAGTTTGTTTCTAAACCGGGAAGCTTCGCGAGCAGCGCAAACAGCCCTCTGCCCCCTCTCCCACCTCCCCCCATCTGCTGCTGCTCCTCTGGCCTGGCAAGCCTGTGTTTGACACACCATTGCAGCTGGAAAATCCTCTCTCCACAAAGCCCCAGAAGCAGTTCCGCTGATATTTGCCGACTGTTCGCCTAGCTAGAGGCCGGGGAGAACAGAAATAAATGCTTGCTGCATAGCGACGGGGCCTGGCTTCTGTAATGACCTCACATACACCCCCCTCGGCTCTCACCCCTCCCCACCCCACGCCACGGAAGCAATGGCAGCTCTCTAACCTTTTCCTAGAAATGTGATCACAGCAGTTTCACCCACTTCCGACACTGGCAGCGACTGCTGGAAGGGGCTGAGAGGAATCAGGAGCAGCAGGATGCTGCCTGGGCTCTGTGCGTTCACAAGAACAGGGCCTGTGCTGGGGGGGTGGGGGTGGGGGGGCTGGGCCTGACCCCCATCGTAGCTGGCCCCTTGGCAAAGATGTGCTTTCTTCAGACCTTGGCACTGATGGGCCTCATGTGCCCTCCGTTCACTGAATGAGCACCACATGGAGCTTGTCAAAATCCTCCTCCACACGAAGGCGTGGGGCAGTCGGGAGTTTAAGCCTGGCCAGGCCCTCATCTTGGCAGTGAGCAGCGGGGGACCCCCTGGACGGGAGGAGCAGCGAGCAGCAGCTCCTGGCACCTTCCCCGGCTGGGGATGGGGCACCTACGTCTTCCTGGCCAGAGCAGCCCTTTGTGAGGCAGGGGGCCCACAGCTCTCGGGGGACGGGGACCATCAGCCTGCTGGCGGGGGGGGGGTCGGGGCTGTCTGGGAGTCCTAAGCCCCAGGCTCTGTCAGGCTCTGTGACCAACGCTGGACACCTGTCCTTGCCGGGAGGAGCATCACCAGAGACAGCTGGTGCTGCCCCCCTCCTCCCCAGGGCACCGGGGATTTAGGTCAGAGGAATGCAGAGGGTGGGGAGCCTGCCTGGCCCCTGGTTACCACGACCCGCCCCTCCGGCCTTGGGTCAAGACAAGTCACGTGGCCACCGCCACCCCAATGACGTCAGGGGCCTGGTAGTGACGTCACACCACCGGTGCACTGAGCACCCGTGTACCTGTGAGTTTTTTGTAGGAATACCGGCCGTAGGGGGACCCTGTTACAGCCTACACTCAGCGCCACCCTCAAAAGCAGCCGCCAGCATGTAAGGGAGACTCCACGTGTCCTTCTGAGCGGATGCCCCTAAAGATTGAGGCTACCTGGGGGAACCCCGAGCTGTCCCCTCCTGGAGCCCCCTCCTCCAACACTCCAAGGCGCGAGACTTCCCTGGGAATGTTCGGAAGACAGAGCGCTACCCCTGCTACGGCTGCTGTTGGCTTTAGGGGCGGGGTGACCTCTGGCGGACGCCCACCGGACAGGGCCCAGCAGAGTCCGCCCAACGGGTCCCCAACCTCCACTCGGGCGGCTGGCAAGTCCAGACAAGTTGTGTGAGGTCAGGAGGCACCGCGGCTTCAGGATCTCCGAGAGTCCGGGGCCCTTTATTTCCAGCCCGGGCGGCCCCTAGTCCAACCCGCAGACCCGCTTCGCGGAACTCACCGGATCGGCCAGTCTCAGCGACGACTCTCCGCTCGCGGGGTGACAGCCATGCAGAGGAGACAGAAACGGCCGAGAGGGCCCCCGTGGGGCCGATGCTCTCCCCGGGTGGACGGGGATGCGGTCGGCGAGGCCGAAACACGCGCCGCCCGCGCCTTTCGAAGTCG